TCTCTCTCTCTCTCTCTCTCTCTCTCTCTCTCTCTCTCTCTCTCTCTCTCTCTCTCTCTCTCTCTCTCCATGCGCCTCACAACGTCAATCACGGTCAATGGGATCCTCCTCTGTGTCGGCCTCTGAGGCACGCATCGCCGCCAACCTCGCGCGTTCCCTGTCCAATATGTCGTGCAACTCCCTCAATTGCGCCTCGTCCCTAGCAATACGAGACTCTATCTCGTTAATGCTGGTGTGAGATCGCTCTCCATGAGGCGCCGACACACCGTCCTCTTCGGAAGTGTACAATGCAGGCGTGGTCATGCGTGAACCTAAAAGTAGGTCTCTACGCGCGCCGAATCTAGGCAGTCCGAGAATATGATAAGCAGTCTGCATACTCAGTGCCGGCCTCTGCTCCTCCCCCAACCGTGCCTGTTGCGCCGCGAAATCACCCCTCACACCATGATCAACTCATCGGACTGTGCTCCACGGACGGTGACGTGACTGCTATGTGTCTAGGCGAGGCCACAACGACGACGACATGTGGCCTCTCTCGGCAATACTGCCCGTGACAGTTGTCGGAGTACCGTGGAGCGTAGTCGGTGGAGGAGGTGTAACTGGGGGGATGCGAGTCGTACGTGCACCCGAAGCCGCTGCTCTGATAGACTCTGAACGCTGCTGCTCGCGCTCCAATCTCGCAGGAGAGCCAGAATACAGAGGGCTCAAAGGTGTGTAACGCGGGGGCGAGCGAACTCCGACGCCGAGAGATCCTGCAGGTCCCCTGCTAATCGGATCCTCCACTAGCGCACGGTGCAACGCATAAGGGTCAAGTAGGCCCGGTGTAATCTGCCCCTCCTCCATATCTGCTCTCACGGGGTTAGGACGGTCATGTGTTGTACCACCCTCCCCCTCCTCATCAACACCACCTCCACCCTCCGCAGGATGTGACGGATCCTCGTGCGCCACGGGTGAAGGATCACGCAACACCAACGCCAACGATATACTGCCTCCGGCCTCGTCCACATGTGCATCACCCTGTACAGGTCCACATGTGTCACCCCCAATCGGCCCGTGTGACGATCGACCTGAACCGGCACTGTGTGCGGGTGCAAGACGGTCGGGATCACTCGCCCCATCATCGCCCTCCGCATCGGGTCTGCGGCCTCCATCCAACTCGCTTGAATCGCCGTCCATAGGAACTGCCTCGTGAGTGGCTGGAGGATCAGGCTGCAACGTGGCCGCCACACACAGTCCAAGTATGACGTTGGACACGGTCGGATCTCCATACTCAGACGCACCAAAGTCTCCTCCCATCGCAAACCCGGAGTCGACATCTCCCTGGGGCGATGTCTCGGGCACTGGGGTGTCGGGTGTCGCTGCGTTGGCTGCAAACGGGTGCAGGACTATGGGAACGCTATGCTCGACCCCACCTGCATCAGGGACTGTAGTACCCCTCTCCAAGTCCCTAAGACACTGCTGCTCCGCCATGTACGCATCTCTACCCGCCCACTCTCTCTGCAACCGCTCCAGCCGCTGCTCCTCCTCTCGATCCATCTGGGCATGGAGCTCCTCCGTGGACTCTGCTCCACCACCCTCCATAGGATGATACTCGACCTCATCCCCCACTCTCTCTCGCCCGTCTACCCATCCTCGAACACCGATGCCCGCAAATCCGGGTCCAAGGCCCTGAAAGTCGCTTGTGCACAGCTCCGTCTGTTCCCTGTCGCCTCGAGGTGCTGAGGTGGGTGTATGCTGGCTCGGCAAACGCTCCTCTGCTCTGATGTCGTATGGATGGTCCGACACCTCGCGTCTACCACCTGAAGTCGATCCCGCCAGCGTCTGCAGCCTCGCAGATCTCCTAAGACCCTCGGCGGCAGGCGCGGCTCCCTGTCGCGCCAACTGCGCTCTGCGAAGCACTAACGGCCCGTCGTCGTCGTCGTCGTCGTCTGCGCTGCCCAGCCCGGTCACCTCCCTCTCTTTGCACCCACCACTGGGTACACCACTAGACCTGCCTAAAGCATCTCCACTCACGCCACGTCCGCCAACTCCGCTCGCGCCGCCTGAAGCGTCTCGCTGTCCACGCTCCAACCCTATATCGGTGGCGGGGATGAAATCGTCGTCACTCTCCCGAATGAATGTGCAGCATGGCTGAAATCCATTTGCTCCTCCTCCGTACATGTAGTAGAGTCTCTCCACACTCTTATCTACACCAGGTGGCAAATGCTCTCCGCCCTTCGTGTCTGTCTGGTTCTCCGACGCCTGCACCAGCTCTAATGGCGGCGGAGGCACGTGGTCGTAAGGAAGCAGTATCTCCGTTCTGGCACCGAAAACCTCAACAACTCCCCCAGGGCGATGAGCACCCTGCTGCTGGAAGCGACGAACCTGTGCAATGATCTCATGTGCCGAAACTGCTGACTGAGCTCTGGCTCCCCACTCCTCTGGCTCAGGCTCGTCCTCCTCATCCTCGTCGTCGACCACCAGGTGTGTGTACTCCTCTGGCTGCGCCTCAGCCAGGGTCGCCATGTGACACCACGGAAGAACGTACCCCCCACTCCGCTCGCTGCATCCAAGTAGTTTGAGATTTCAAGCAACCTCAACTAATTGCGCGACCTTCCTGAACTCGAACGTGTTGCGCTTGGCCGTGTGGATGCGCTGATGCTCTGCCCAATTCCTCTTAGCAGGAGAGGCGGACGTCCACATGTGCATCACACGGTCAGTGATCTCCTGCAAGTCCGGGAAGAATGCGCCGTGCTCCACCCACCAGGACGCGCACCTGCTCGTCTCCTCATCCCCGATACAGGCCTCCGCCTCAGCGTCCCTCGTCACCCTGTCTGTTGTGTGGCCGATCCTAGTGTGGAAAGACCGCATCTGCTCCCGCACCTGCAAGTATGTATCCCCCACCGGATCACCGCCTGTTTGCGCTAACAGAAACGAATCGCACTCGGTAACCACCTCGAGGTCCGCAGCTGTCCTGTGGACGGACTCGTAGTAACGGAGAGAGCATTTGCGGGGGTTGAGCAGGTGCGCCGCAACGTGCGCAGGCTCAAGCATATGCATGGTGCGGATCTGCACCGCCTCCACGCACGGCCCATGCATGTCATCTGGGACGTCAGAAACAGCCACCTGGCGTACCAACTCCTGCGACCATGAGTAAATCGTGGACATGATCATGCCGCCCCTGTCCAATCTCCTCAACCGCTGGTGGACAGGGGTCATGACAGCGACTGCGTGGTGAACGTTGCGCCAGAAATCGGCGCACCGGATGACCTGTCGAACCCACAGAGCCTGTCTACGCTTCGACGACTCCCATGGGATCTTGTCCCACTCGTCGTCATGAAGCATGCTCTCCAAGTCATTACGCCTGGCGAGCAAACACACAAACATAAAAAAAATGGACGCGAATCACGTCTCCACGGGGTGCACAAGTGTGCGGCGACGACTCTTCACCCTGAAAAGGTGATAAGCCGCGCCGTGCGATTTAATGAATCGCACCAATGCCCAAGCTCTGAAAATGGTGTCCGTAACCCAAGGAACCCGTGTCCCGATGTCAGACAACATCAAGTTGGCGACATGGGTGGAACACGTGAGCCAAGTGATACTATGGATCTGCGGATCGGAGTCCTTTGCAAGAAGCTTTGCGACCGACGTATAGTTCGACGCAAAGTCCGTGCAAATGGCCAACACGTCCTTCGGAGAGAAAGACCGGAAAATGATCTTCCACCTCCTTAGGACGATCTGTGTCGTCTCGGGCACTGAACCGTCTCGCTGGACGGTGGCGTACATGACAGCACCGCGCTTGGCGGCTGCGAGGAAGTTAACTATAGGCCTAGCGTCTCACGACTGCCTACTGTCCGACAAAATGGTGGCCCCTACCGACTCAAACGAACTACGGACCTCCCTCAACATCACAAGAACCTTCCCTCGCTGATCTACAATACCGTCGCCCCCAATGTCCTTGAACGATGGATAAATTGGCCGGACTCCGCGAGGCATGGCGGCCAACTGATTCTTGTGCCGAAGCCATGACTGCCTCCTGAATGCAGCAAATCGGATACCGGAATCGTAGACCCACTGCAAAAATGTGTCCCTGAATCCGGCCCGCCCATCCGGATCATACACCTCGTCAAGTCTAGACTGCCCCTGTCTCTTGCGCGCCTGCGGCACGCCCTCAACTCCACTCTCCACTGGCCTCTTGCCCGCTCGGCCCCGTGCGTCCCCCTCGTGATGGTCAGTGACACTGCTCCCTCGCGCAGTCATAACCACCTCCTCTCCCGACAAATTTGGTGTTGTGCCTGTCCCTTCACCCTCCTCAACGCCCCCGGCCTCTGCTCGCCTGGCCTCCTCGTCAAGGAACTCCTGCACCTCCTCCATAGGATCACACTCCTGTGGTCGCGACTGTGTCCCACCCGTCCTGCCCCGGCCACTGCCTCGATGGACGTCCACGGCTCGTCTATCCGCGATATCGTGCTCCCTCATGTACGCCAAGATACCGCGGTGATGACGTTGATCGAACTCGTCCTTTGTGTGGTTCCAAATATCCACAACACGTCCGTCGTTGCTGCCTCTTGAACTGCGTGAAGTGGCGCAAAGCTTTAAACAAAGTGCCCTCCCATACATGTTTGCAGTAATTGCAGCGCAGCTTGTAATCCCTATGCCTCTTCTCCCACGTCCCCATCCTCTGACTCTGCGTCACATGATGCCACACTCTCGACTTCCTGCGCAGTTCATCCATTTACGCATCGATCGCCGGAATGAAATCACCGTCCCCCGAACCGCCTGCACCACCCGTCATTTCTCTGCGAAAACGAAAAAAAAAAACATTCTGGAAAGGGACAAAAAAACAAGAAAAAAAAACAAACTTTCTCTCTCTCACAAACACAGCACACACAAAATCAACCAATCAATCAATCAATCAATCAATCAACCAATCAATCAGTCAATCAATCAATCAATCAAGATCCTGTCAAATCGACAGGATCTTGATTGATTGGTTGATTGATTGATTGACATATTGATTGGTTGATTGATTGATTGACTGATTGATTGATTGGTTGATTGATTGATTGATCAATTGATTGGTTGATTGATTGATTGACTGATTGATTGATTGGTTGATTGATTGATTGACATATTGATTGGTTGATTGATTGATTGACTGATTGATTGATTGGTTGATTGATTGATTGATTGATTGATTGATTGACACACCAATCGATCAGTCAATCAATCAACCAACCAATCAATCAGTCAACCAATCAATCAATCAATCAATCAATCAATCAATCAACCAATCAATCAGTCAATCAATCAATCAACAAATCAATCAAGATCCAGTCAAACACAAACTCTCTTTCTCTCTCTGCTCTCTCCTCTCTCCTCCGTCTACGAACACAAACACAAACACACACACACACAGACACACACACACATACACAAACAACCAGTCACAAAAAAAAAAAAAAAAAAAAAAAAAAAAAAAAAAAGATGGTGAACTATGTCGGAGCAAGGCGAGGCGAGAGGAAACTCTGGTGGAGGCTCGCAGATATACTGATGTGCAAATCATTCGACGAACTTGGGGAAGGGTGTGGAGGTGTGTGTGTGTGTGTGTGTGTGTGTGTGTGTGTGTTTGTGTGTGTGTGTCTGTATGTGTATGTGTGTGTGTGTGTACAATCAATCAATCAATCAAATCAAATCAATCAATCAATCGATCAATCGATTAATCAATCAAGCAATCAAGATCCTCACAAATCGACTTGATTGATTGATTGATTGATTGATTGATTGATTGATTGATTGATTGATTGATTGATTGGTTGGTTGGTGGATTTAATTTGATTGATTGATTGATTGATTAATTGATTGATTAATTGATTGATTAATTGATTGATGTGTGTGTGTGTGTTTGTATGTGTGTGTGTGTGTGTGTGTGTGTGTGTGTGTGTGTGTGTGTGTGTGTGTGTGTGTGTGTGTGTGTGTGTATGTGTGTGTGTGTGTGTGTGTGTA